ACTCTTTGGGCCCCTTGGTACCAATTGAGCATTGTTTCAACCTACCTGAGTATTGTTGCTGACCATGTCCATCCCTTTATGACCACAATGTACCCAACTTCTGATGGCTACTTTCAGCAGGATAATGCGCCATGTCTGGAATCATCTCAGACTGGTTTCTTGAACATGACAATGAGTTCACTGTACTCAAATGGCCTCCACAGTCACCAGATCTCAGTCCAATAGAGCATCTTTGGGATGTGGTGGAACGGGAGATTCGCATCATGGATGTGCAGCCAACAAATCTGCGGCAACTGTGTGATGCCATCATGTCAATATGGACCAAACTACCTTGTTGAATCTATGCCATGAAGAATTGAGGCAGTTCTGAAGGCAAAAGGGGGTCCAATCTGTTACTAGCATGGGGTACCTAATAAAGTGGCCGGTGAGTGTATATATTTATGTAATTATTTAGATCATGATTTAAAATGGGAATAAACCAGATTAGCTCACTAACTTGCGTGTTGATCACATATTTTACAAAACTAAAGAAAATATATTTTCTTTGGCTTATCTTAATGAGGAATCAACTTTGGATATGATTTTAATTTCAACATCACCAGCCGAAGCACTGTCTCTGTCGCCTTTCTCTGGTTGCGCCTCAGTCCGTATCCCCGGCTCCAACTTAATTAATTTTATTTTTCATTAAATAATAGAGATGCAAATAAATAGAAATAGACAGTTCTCAGATAAGATCCAAGGTGTATCTATAACTACTATAAATCTATCTATAAATATTTTCATAAAATAAGATTATGCAGTCCCTATGTTAAATTAATTCATTAACTTTATTTTAATCAAAAACAAAATAAAATAGAACAATATCACACCAAGATCCCCAATAAACCTGCTTTTCAGTTGACTGCAGGCCCACAAACCTCCCCCTCAGCACGGCAGAGGTCCCAAGCGCCATCTGGTGGTGTTCCGGGTACATTGCAGTTCTCTTTGAAATAAAAAAACTGGCCTCAGGAAATACATCGTGATTCACACAGGAATCACACAGGAATCACGCAGGAAACCGTCCATTTCCAACCAGTGCCCACTGTATATACCACACATTCGCCCACTCCAAAAGACCAGCGCCAGCAGAGACCTCACTGAAGGACCCATCCTGCCCCCAGGTTACCCTGGCCATCCCAAGCCAGCACCTCCTTAAGGACCTCTCGTACCCATGGTTTTCAAGTAATGTCAGCTTAAGAAGCCTGCCGCCTTAGGCCAAAACGAGCCTGCTAGCCCCCTGAGTGCAGGTACCAAACACACCTTAATGCTCCATCCATGCCAAATCACCAGAAGACAGGCAAACAGGCAGACCCATACCAAAAGCTGAGAAGCATCTGGGCTAGCTGGTTGTATCTCACATGCCATGCCATCCAGCCTAACCCCCTCAAGGAAGAAGGCAAACTCTCAATCACCTTAACCAACCCCCAAATTTGCACCCCCATCTCGGCAGACAAACTAGATCCTGAGGCAAAGAGATGAAAAACCAAGGCTAGAGAGTCTCAGGAGACCCTAAAAACTCTGTCTGGCAAAGATCATCCCCAAGGACTCATGGTCCGCTTCCACCCTCCGGCTCAATCACAGAGGACAGTGGTTTGAAAAGACCTTATGTCAGCCCCCTTGTCCTGATATGTAGTGTTGACATGGGCATAAGCATTGAAGGCAAAGTTAGTGCCCCTGACATCTCTACATTATTGCCCTACATGTAAATGCCATTATAATGTTGATGAATGATACAGGCTAAGTTGCTTAAAGCTGAAGTCTGTAAGTTTTTAAAAATCAATTTTTTGTCATATTGGCTAAAACTGTCCCTATGCCCAGACAGCAGTACATGTGATATCTAACCTATGAAAAAAACAGCTTCAATTAGTACCGCCTACTGCCTGTATTGCAATCTGGAAAGAATA